CTCCCTCTCTCTCTCTCTACCCCTCCCCCTCCATCCTCTTTCCCAGTCCCCCCTTCCGACGACAAAGGAAGGGTTTCTCCCTCTGATGAAGCCGCACGTGGCATGCGACAGAAAGGCCTCAGGGAAGTGCCACTCCCTCCTGTGGATCTGCATGCTGGTCCTCTCCCCTTGAGCGGTAACAGGATCGTTTAGCTGCATGGTGCAGGATACATTTCTCTTTCTGTCCCAATTCCCTCTCTCTCACTTGCTGTTGTTCGTCGGTTTGAGATTCAACTGAGGGTATCATTGGTAATTTCGGCACTCCAAGAAGATTCTTTTTTGATCGAATGTTCACCAAGTGTTGTGATGATTTTTCCGGTGTAATGATTTCTTTTGTGATTTGCTTGAGTAAGCTACTTTGTACAAAAAATGCTAAGTGATTTGTATTCTGTTCTGCGAAATGGATGCGTGAGCATGTAACCGCGTCCCCACGGATCTGCCAAGCCATGCAGCAAGTAGCGATCCCCTGAAATCACCTAGCGGGTGGTGGATGACTCCTTGCTGCATAGCATCCGTAATCTGTGGGAGATCTGTTCTTCTTTTTTTTTCTGGGCTGTGCATCTAGGTGTGTGCATTATCACCGTGTACAAATGAGCGACTTCCTGTGCGAATGCTGATTTTACTGTTATAAAAACCAGTGATTCCCCAAACACGTGATGAGATTGGTGGGCCTGAATGATCCCCTGTTTTAATGCGTATGGAGCTTTCTTCGTATTCTAACTTGGACCCCACGCGTCTGCCAGCGATGTGGCAAGCAATGATCCACAACCCCCCCCCCAAGGGATGGTGGACGACTCCCTGCGACATTGCACCAGACGCCGATGGCGATCCGGATTCATATGTATGTTCCGAACTTCGCAATATTTAAATGTCTATGCATTCTTCCATGATATTCTCTATGCGACAAGAAATCGCAAAATTCTTTGATTCACCTGAAAGATCTTTGTCGCCGAAGGTCCAAGAACCTACGATGCGTAGTGGCAAGGAATCCTCTTGCCCTAAGAAAGGGGAGGGTTGTCTCCCTGCCTTTACGCATCAAGATCTTGGTGAGCTTTGCGATAGTTCCGCATAATCGAAACACTATGAATGTGTAATAGGTGTCTGACTTGTACCCTATCCCCCTGCTATTGATTTCATGGGATCCCTATGCCCTCGACGCTGAGTATTTTTTAGAAAAAGGGACATAGATAGGCATGGATTTACTTCTTCGACTCAACCCCCACGAATATTCCTTTCTACGATCGGTGAAAGGTAGTAATCCCGATTCTCTGAATCGCTTGTATGATCTAAGATCCCCGTAACGATTAACTGGATTCTTGTCTATTCCTTTCGTACTATGAGTAAGGATTGGGCGCGAATGGCGATTCGATCCATAACCCATGCCATATAGAGAAGTCCGGCGAAGTCATCGAAGACCTGACCCCTAATAAAAACAAGGACTGATTAACTCCTGGCTTCCGCAATCCACGATGACCGAGATCTGGATATAATACCGAGATGCAAGGTCATCAACCCCCCCGAATTTTTTCCATACACAATCACTTTCAGTCAAACACTGCTTTGATATTAGAACGCATAGATAGTTTCCCTACGCCATAATTATAGAAGCGAGCCGGAAAGACTCACTCGCAACTCGCCATACGGATTAGCCTGTCCTTGTCGGCCTTGCGATTTTTACATAAAAACCCAGTGAAAAGTTGAATCCTAAAAAACGGCTAATGGCTGTGATGTTGGACGAATACTAATTGCAACTGTATTGTATGATGAACGAGCAGCGGTGTTTTCATTATAACGCGATATTACTCAGAAACTCGAGTAAATGTTTTTTTTCGCCACAAAAGACGATGCCTACCATACTTGCGAACTATACCTGAGCTAGAGGTGTGTCGATGACCTGTCATCGGAGATCATACCTGGCATAGTAAAACTTGCCATGGATGCATTGAAGCACACAACAAAAATACACACACACACACGCGCGCACAAACACCCACGCACAAAAAAAAATAAAAAAATAAATAAAAATAAATAAATAAATAAATAAATAAAAATTCAATCAATCAATCAATCAATCAATCAATCAAATCAAGTCAATCGATCAATCAATCAAATCAAACCAATCACTCAATCAATCAATCATTGTTTTTTTAATTTGTTTTAAATTTTTATATCTTCATTTTTTTTAAACACTTAATTCCCCTACAAAAAACCGAAAATCATTTCTAAATAAAATACAACACAACTCAGGGTGAAAGGGACCATATGCCTCATGATAAAAAACGGCAAAAAAAAAAATTTACTTTTCTTTTTTTTTTCCTTAAATATTTTGTTGAAATCAAATTTCGTTTTTCATTTTGAAAAAATTTTAAACGAAGTCAGATTCCAAACCCTACACCCCTATATTTTATTATTTGTTTTTTACGTATTTTTAGGGGGGGAAAAAATATTAGAAAAACAGGCAGCGGACTGGGCCTCATCGGCCACGGTCGCGGCCGACTTTTTTGGCCGCAGCGGCCAAATTGCCCGCGGCCCAGGCCGCGGGTGTCACATAGTGCATAAGTATACAAAGTTTTTGTCATCCTTCTGATTTGTTTTCTCTTCCTGTATGTTCCTTTGTCGATCGTGCATTTGGATTGATCACGATGTGTCGATCTTGTATTACATGCTAAGGGAGCTCACAGACAGTGATGAAATCATGAACCCAACGATTACATTAACAAAGAAGGAAGTGAAGTTTTCGTAATGGCTGTTTAATCCCTTGAACTGTACTGAGTGAAATCTCTGGTAAGAGGGCAAGTCGGTCTAATCGGAGTAGTGTTGCATCGTTTTCCTCATGCGGGTCATATACATATATTTTTGCGAATGATGGTCATCGATTCTCATATGGGATGAGGGACCATATACGTTGTTGAAGTCAACCTTCAATCCTGAGCATGTCTCGCCACTGGTCGGGAGGCATGTGGGTTTCTTTAATAGTTTAAGATGTGAGCGCAAGTGCATTGTTAAATTGTCGTGCTTTCGATCGTAGCAATCGACCTTGGTTGTTGTCACTATCCGATAATGTTACAATTTGGTCAGCAGGTGTGAAGTGGTTAATGATATGTCCAGAGTGGTGGCCAAACATTTCCTTGCAAGTAGCAAAGTAATGTCTAAGCATGTTCATGAGATCATTTTTTTGTTCAACAATATGTACAGGGTGTTCAACTTCCAAGTATCACAATGTTAACCGAAAGTTCTTGCATGAATAACACCGGAGTGTAAACGTGTCCATTGTTGGTTCGTGGTTGGATATTGGCAGTATGTCTTTGTCTATGACATTTTTGGTGTTCTATGTGTGCATACCGTGCTTTTGGTTAACAACAAGGGAGCTTTCAGCTAACGGTCGAGAAAGAGGATTAGATGGGGGCAAATGACCAGCAGAGGCAACACATGACAAAATACCAAAAAAAAAACACAGAGCTTCAAAGAAATTTCAAATGCATAAAAAAAAAAAGAGCATTGAGTGTTTGGAAACTATGGTATCCGGTTAACAGTGACAGAGTATTCTAGCAATAGGCAAGAAACTCACACATAATAAAATCAAGAGAAAAAAAGAAAAAAATAACACTTATCTATCGTAACGAAGTTTCAATTTTATGGAACGACCACGTGAAGGGCAGAAATCACACATGACGAAATGCAAAGAGAGAACAAAGTTTCAAGGGACTGGACATGCATTAAAAAAAAAAAAAAAAAACAAAAAACAATTGTGGTTAAAAGAAAATTAATTTCAAACATTTAAAGTTCATTGCTCACATAACACATGTTCATTGCTTACTGAACAGATATATAAAAACAAAAAAGGGGGGGAATGTTGGTTACATTTATTGCTCATCTGTCCAAAAACAAAACCCTGACTATACCAATATGCTATATCCCTTTTTTTTTTCTTTCATCTGTCCTTTGTCTTCTCCATTTCCTCATTATTTTCTGCTTTATCCCAAGTATAAAAAGAAAGTTATTCCTGCTCATCATTTCGTGATCTTCCTGTGTCCTCCTGTTCACCATCTCCTAATCTTCCCGCAACTTATCTTCCATTTTTCATCAATTGCCCTTTCCTCGTTGTCTTTCGTCCATATTCTCTGTTTTCCGTCATTTGTAAAGTACTGGTCGTCAATCCTATATTGTTGTTGACGTACAAATGACACACATAAATCAAAAGAACGTCCCCCCCCCAAAAAAAAGTGCCCCGTCTGTCCGTCAAGTTAAAATCTTCCCGCCAACAGGTTAGTCTCAAACTCGGCGGCTGACCTCACACTACTGCTATCCATAGGATGAGCAAAATCGAATGAATTTTTTGTTGGAACATGAAAATATACACTACTACACGTGTGTGTGTGCGTGTGTGTGTGTGAGTGTGTGTGTGTGTGTGTGTGTGTGTGTGTGTGT